GGAGTTGGTGGCGAATTGGTGCTGAAGGTGACCCCAAAGGCTGAATGGAGTTAGCCCTTTGCTCCGGAACGATGGGAGCAGCCCAAGTTGCACCCTCTTGGCGATGAAGGCGCTGGCGCGATGATGCAGATCCGTTGAGGGCCTCCTAAGCAGACCTCTTGCTATTTTCCATGATCTCAAACCTACGGAAAAAGCAGGAACTAGAATAAGGATGTAGAAGGTTTGAGACGAAGTAGGTTGTTGTTCGATCCACAACCATGGCCCATATATATAGCCCGGGAAGACGAGAAGATAGGTTTCGCCGGGGGTGTGAAATTGGAATCGACACTCCAGAAATTCAGGGGACGGATAACAGATTCGAACTTATTGCTTCCCCAAATTACAAAATATCATAAGACGGATATGAAGAATTTACATTGACCAGAGATCAACCCACCGAGGCTTCTTTGGATTGATGGGAGTCTGGGTCCCCACAAGGCCGAAGGTCATCGTGAACCAAATCATATCGGCCCATTGATAAAATTATGCCAGAGAAGGGGAAAGGCCACCCGCCTAACAGATGCCAAGCCGATTTCTCGGTAAATTGAGAAACTATAGGAAAGAAGCCTGTGGCTTCCTGATGGGCATTTGGAGGAACAAACAAGGGAAAGGTGTCCACATATTTTAGCCCTTGCAAACACTAGAATAGCTTTGCGAGCATGGAGAGAAGACTCAGGTGATATCACAAGAATTCTTCTAACCGCAATAGCTGGTCCTCTTGCTTGACAATGCGCTAGAATGAGCGACACAATCACCCTATGCACAAGAATTCTTCTAACTACTCAAGATCTTCATAGCAAAAAGATAGACCATGGAGGGTTTGGTGGAGTTGGAAGCGCTCGAGGGGGCAGATGGAAGAGAAACATGGCTGAATTGTTGAGTTGCTATCGCCAAGGTTGGATAGACATTTTATAGCCGGCCTAGAAAGATAAATCCAAGTGCCCGTGAAGCAATGATGCTCTCGTAAAGAGTTTTGAAGCATGGGCTCATGAGCTGACAAAGGCGACGACAAACAGTAGACCCCAGATCAAGATTCTCTACCCGTGACTGCGGACCTATTGGGGATACAGACGCGATAATTTTGGAATAAAATTACTTTTATCCAAAAATTGGGGGGCATGTGTTTACACCAAAATTTGGAAGAAGGGTCGCAGGGACTCGAAAGCTCCAAGATCATGTCATCAGAGAATCAATTGAGTGCAGATCGGAACCAGCTGATTCGAATGCAACACTGGAATCGGCTTTCTTTAGGTAGCGCCAGCAGATAACAACAAAGGCTATGATCGGTGCCAGGACAAAGTATGTTGGACTCTACAAAAAGGAAAAGATTAGAGTCTAAGTTATCTTAAATTAGGAATCTCTTCTCTAGGGCCAAAGATTGTGGTGAGTCGTGCTTAGATAGGAGTCATGCGAAGGTCCCGAGTATAAATATCAAACCCCGGCTATTGTAAAAAACACACAATCAATCAAATACAAGTTACTTACTTTTTTCGGCTCTAGCCACCCCTTAGGAGTAGGAGTAGAGTAGATCTCGGCGAGTTCTTCAGCAAGTACGACTGTATTGATCCAGTCGACCTCCACTGCTTGTCTATAAGTACCGTCATGGCTTATACCTCTGTTCGTACGGCTGCATCGATCCGGTCGACCTCCACTGCGACTCTGATATAAGTTAGTTATCGACTCTTGTGTAGTTCAAGTAAGGCTGCATCGATCCGGTCAACCTCCCCTGCTCGAACTTGATTAAGGTCGAGTTATCGGCTCTATCTAAGGGCGGCGTTCCTTTGAATAGATTCATTAAGTTACCGATATTGCTTATTGCTTCCATTATTTATTTAATTACAGCAATATCACTTCGTTCGATTGGGATTGATCTATATCGGCCTTATATCTTGTTTAACCCATCGTTTGTTAATCTAAATTTAATCTAATATGCACTTTAAACAATGAGTTATGTTTTATCGGCTGTTTTGTATCAATCTTAATCGTGCATAGCGTGCGGTTAGGACATGTCTGATCTTAAGTAGATCTATTGGCTAGCGAAAATCGTTCCATGGCCCATTATCACGGCCTGTGTGATTCTGCCTCACACCCCACTGATAGCACCATGGAGTGGGGATCTTTATTTAGTAGATCTGTTTCTAAGAGGGCATGATCTTAACTATGCGTTATGCCTGAATCGGCTGTTTTAGCCGATATCGAGTGCTTTCACGAACAACTCACGTCACGAGACCGTTGAAGTAGCGATAGGTTAAAAGATGGGTTAGCCCTATGATCTTATTATTGTATTACGGCCTACATGATTCTGCCTCATGCCCCACTAATATTAGTAATAAGTTAGGGTCGTCGAGTCTATTGTTGTTTCTATGGCCTACATGATTCTGCCTCATGCCCCACTGGTCATAACGATAGATGAAATCTAATATGTTCATTAGATTTATCTCTATTAAATGGTTGAATGACGATGAACTGTTTCTTTTATAAAACAAGTTTGGTTACTTGTAGGCATTGGCTCAGTATAAACTAATTATTGTTAATATCTTATTGCCATTGACTAATATTTGTCTAAAGAATGATGTTCATCCTAAACGATAACCGATTCTTCTTACACAACCCCATGAGCTTTAACCGATTTATTCTTATGAATATGCTGGAATTGACTATTTAGTTGATCTCCTTTCATATCGGCTCTCAGAGCCGCACATTCGGGATTGTCTGGCAACACCGGCATGTTCCGCCCTAAATTACTGATAAACTTTCTTTCCTTGTCAATTGCAGGGTTAAATTGACTGGCATGTCTCGGGAGGAGTGCACAGGATCGACCACCCCTACGCTAAAGCTAGGCGGATCTCCAGCTCTATCGAGCGGACCCTTCCGGCTTGCTTGTGTGTCCTCGGCATGGGATGGAAATTCCGTGTCGACAAGAATACAATGTAAGTGTAGTTGACAAGATTGAAATCATGAAAAAAATAAAGATTTGCAACCTACCTGAACTAGATATTCAGGCTGCGCACTCACATTGTCACATATCTGCAACTACCTGGAGGCAACATGGACATTATATTCCTCGCCAGGATGATAGAATTCAGGAAGGCCCCAATCTATCGGCTAGAGTTTCCGAAGCTCATGATCTATCATAACATTGTGGGGCTTCACATCTTGGTGCATAATACCTTGTGAATGACAGTAATCTAATGTCTGTATCCAGAAAACAGAAATAGTTAGGCAAGTCAAATTAACTATAGGTTCCTTGATAATTAGTTGATGACTACAGGTTTCTTGTATCTATTTTAAATCTAAATCTAAATGCTAATAAGACAAGGCCAGATTGTACTGATAGGTTCATAGGCACACAAATTAAGAAATGAATTATCAATCACAAAAGCTCCATAAAAGTGCTGTCAAATTAAAATAGAGAATTTACAGCTTAAGAGAAAATCAAGAAAGTGTCACCTTGGATATTCTAAATACCGTTCAGTAAACCATTGAAAGCACCAGTAGAAATCATGCAGCTATTGTCATCCACATTGACACTAAGACAAACACAACCCTTTGACATTAAAAAGAATTAACTCAGACTCAAATATGTCATAGACCTCTCTAATTAGTGTCGACTGGTTCACTTAGGACCTACATGTCCATATTTTTTTTACAAATCATCATCCACATCATTGTTGGTCACACATAGAAGTCAGTGAAAAAAATCTAATAACAGAACCACTAGTCATAACCACTAGTCGACTGGTTGACTTAAAACTCACATGCCCCCATTCATATTAGTATACTATATAATTTTTTATATGTGGTTGTACTAAAAATCCATGGTGTATACAACATGCATTTCTTCTCATGGTTTTATAAGAGATAACAGAGACTTAATTAATGTGATAAATTTCAAGTATAACCATAATAATTGTCTTTTTTTTTCTAGATTCCCAATGATTACATGGCGCTAAGAATTTTAAATGGTAGATTAAAAACGCATTCCTTGGTACTAACTGATTCATGTCAATAGAACCAACATGTCTTTCCTCACGAAAATGAGCACATTATTATGGCAGCCTCATGAATAAAAACTATCTTTTGGAAATAGCAGCCAACACAGGGGGTAGACGGTACATGGACTTCTTAATATTGCAATGAGGATCCAAGAGTAGTGGATAGTAAAAGAATCAAACAGGAAGAGGAATACATGTTAAATAGTACTTTTTATGGAGTTATCTTAGGCATGTTTCATCTAAAACCAGTGTACTGCTTTCACTAATGCAGATGAATTTTACATTATATGTAAATAGAATAGCCTAACATGCAGAAGAAATTACCTGTGCTTTGAATTGGCAGTGCCTTATAGGATCCCTTCTCCTGAATCAACGGACAGGGTATCCTATATATTGGAAAATATCAACAGATGCACCATATATCAGAGCTAGTACAAAAATGGACCAGGAACAGTAAGGTAAAAAAAACCTTGTAGAGTCCCCCACCGCATCAGCAGTAGGAGACCTGAGTGGCCATGGATCTAGCCGCTCCTACCTGAGTGGACATGGATCTAGCCGCATAGTGGACATCGATCCCGCCTGAGTGGACATGGATCTAACTTCAAATTGGAGGAGTGGGTTCAAATCGCAACCACGTGGAGCAGCGATGCGCGGAGGACCTTCTTTTAATCCTCATCGTATCCCGTACCACCCCTTGTGCCCTCGCCGTGGCTCCCGGCGACGATTTGTGAGTGCCTTAGGCACCAGCGGTGGTGGAGGAAGACGAGGTACCCGCCCTCCGACGTGGGCGGCTCGGCGATGGGCTTGACATGAGCAGCGGCAACATGAGCAACGGATCTGGGGAGGACGCCATGACACAGTGGAAGCCCCACCTCCCCACCCTTCTAGATCTAGATCTAAGAGGGGAAAGGAGGGGGTTGTGGCCTCACCGATGGAGGGGTGGTGGCCACGCCTATAGAGGAGGGGATGGTGGCCGCAACGGTGGAAGAGGAAGGGGCGGTGGCGTCGTTGGAGGAAGAGAGGAGGGGGAGGCGACGGGAGATGGATGGGGCGGTGGCGTTGGAGAAAGAGAGGAGAGGGGCCGAGGGACAGACCGAGGGGGTGGAGGTAGATGCGGACTTGAGTTGCGAAGTGCACGGGCATGACATTTGTAGGGGTGGCTCGTATTACCAACCGCCCCTACTGTGCCATTTGTAGGGGCGGCTGCTGTGCTGGAGCCCGAGCACGCCACTGTAGGGGCTGCTCCAATGCCAGCCGCCCCTAAAAAAAGCCCCGTTGCTACAAGCTGTTTTTCACGTAGTGGCTACCCCTCCAACATGACAAAGTTGGCGCCAAGAGAGATGGCCGGCATGGTTCTCACGATCAAGAAGGCCAACACCTAATTCATGGGCGAGATGAAAGGGTGAATGGAATTATTGAAGGTAGCTAGTTTAGCTTATAAGCCTGACCAATCGACTCCTTGGTTCCTGACAATCATTCACACTAATGAAGGAGCCGTTGATTGGTTGCTTATTTGCTTGTGAGTTGTGCAGTTCTTACTTCTTGGTCTGTTCAGATGCTAGAGTTCGCACTAATGAAGGAGCAAGAGCCTGTGAGTGGTTGTTTATTTGCTTTTGACTTGCACAATTCTTACTCCTTGGTATGTTCAGATGCTAGAGTGGCTGTTATTTGCTCACGAGTGGCAACAGGTGCCAGCATTTGCTGCACTGGGAAGGAGAAGAGGCAAAGTAGTCATTGATGCATCAACGAAGGTGGAGAAGCGGGCCCTAGATAATGATGTGGCTTCATAAAATCGCAACAAAATCTGTTAATGGGGTTCTTCTATTTAGGTATAGGAGATTTCACACCATCCCCATGTATGTTCTATAAATACCCGTTGAGTGGCGCTGTTCCGGACATGACTTTTACGAATTAATGGCCAATAATTACTCCAGAATTTATTACCGCATTCCTCTCAACTGCGCCATCTCTTAAATCTTCATTCTCCTTCCACCGTGGAAACCCTTGTCCTCTGTAACATCCCAGATGTTAAAAAGCAGTTAAAACTTGATCATGTGCATCATGAAGCATAATCACCAAGTATTGAGTCATAAATGCAATTTATGTTTCAAGTATAACATACATATGTTGCATAAGTGATGTTTCATTTATAGCTTTGCTATGTTGCAAATGTGGTGTTTCATATGTTGCATATGCTATGTCCCATTTATTGCATGTTTATGTTGTAAGTGTGATGTTTCACATGTTTCATGAAATAATGTCAATAGTAGTAATTAAGGTTCTTTGTGAATTTATATATGAGAATTTGCTTAAACAAGTAAAATTTTATTAAAATAAAGTTTGTAGTACAAAGTGAGCTTTATAATGTAGCATCAAAGTTTGATGATGTTTCCAAGCCAAACATAATGAAATTGGACTCCAAAGATTGAATTTAATGTTGTTTTTTCCCTCTAAGCATTTTGGCTGTCATGGAAATCAATACTAAGTTCAATTTAGGGAGATTTATTGAAATCAATTTTCATGAATAAAAATTGACCAATTGTTGTTACATTGTTTGATGTGATGCTTGAGTTGTGATATTGTGTAATTAGTTAAGATGTTAGATTAATCTTTTCACTTAAATAAATTACCAAAAATGCTTAGTTAAAACAAAACTTCAAAACCTGAAACCACTGAACTCCTCTTTGATCTTCCAAATCTTCAAAACTGTAAAGATTTTGGGGGTAGATTCTTAAAGCAATGTTGGAGAGCACATGTAGATGAGCAACTTTAGTTTTTGGAGTTCATCAAGTCGCTGCACGAAATTGGGAGAACGAGCAAGCTCAACATGGAGTTTTCAGTCGCTACAGTGTCACCACCAAGCAGCTGACACGCAGCAGTGTGCTCTCCGTCGGTGGCCGCCGCCGCCCTTCGTTAGCCGCCTCAGCGCGCGCAGAGACGCACCTGCCTACGTGTCCGAGAGCAAGCAGGTACTGGCGATGCTGGAGAACCGTCCTCGCCTCCATTTAGGCAACGCCGGTGACCATCTCCCTCTCCTCTTTTAGCTCCGCCGCCAAACTCCTCCCCTCGTCGGCGCAATTCGCCACCCTTGCTTCACCTCCATCCAATTCCTCGCGTCTCCAACTCCGGCTGCTCCTCGTGAACTTCGCTGACCCACTTGCACCACCTCTATTTGCCAAGATCGCCTGTGCGCGCTGCCGCCGCCGCGATGGCTCACCATGGCTGCCATGGATAGCTCCACCGTGGCCAGCTCATCCCGCTACATCTCCCTCCTTCCTAGCTTTTGTTTTGGCTTCCTTGCTAAGTGGTGATGCTCATCGGCCTGCCCGTTTCCTTGTTCCCCTCAGGACACGCTGGAATGCGCCGTCACAGCCGATTCTTGCCGCCGTTTCCGCCGCCAACGCCGGCAGGCACGCCCGCTCCGCCCCCACTTCAACCAAGCAGCGCCCTGAAGTCATGGTGAGCTCCTGGTGCCTCTTTAGCCCTTAGCTGAACCCCTACCACGCTGTAGTCACCGGCCCGCAATCGCGCCGCCATGCCGAGCACCACCGTGCCGCCATGGCTGCGGCCAAGCTCGCGCGAAGACCTAATCCCATCAACCGGTAGCTTGGTCATGTTCGTGAGGTTTTGAGGAAGCTGTTGGTGCTGTCCCTATTGTTGGTTGCGTCACCGTCGGCCGAGTCCGCCTCGTCGGAGCACCGCCGTCCGCCTTGGCCGGCGTCTTGCCTGCTGTGGAACCCTAGGTGTTCAATCAATACCGTAGTCATGTGCACGGGATTGTGGGGAGCACGCTAGTGTGATCGCCGTCGCCGGAAACCTCGTCGGCGACGAGCAATCGCCGATCAACGGTGGTGTGCCCACGGTCGTGCGTGGGAACACTATGCCGTTGACCATGGCCCGCCTGTCAGTGGCACTGGCTGGGTGGGTGTGGGTACAAAACGATTTTCAGCCCTTTTCATTTTTTAGAAAATGTTTTCTTATGCAGTTTCTTGTTTAATTCATAATTAATTCCTGGAGCATGATAAAATTGTATTTTTTTGTGTAGCCTCTTATTGATGCGCGCTATCTAGGAAAAATATTAAATGATAAAAATCAATAGTTTTTGCATGCTTTAAAATTACCTCTTTTAATTAATAAATGCACCTTCCAAGATTTTTATAGACTAAAATAATTATGCTTTAATGATGAAACTTTTTGTGTACGCTTTACATGCTAATATATACCCTCACAAAAAGTTTGGTACTGTTTTGATAATTGTAAATTAGTTAATTAATTTAACTGCTTGTAAATACCTTTTCCTTATTTAATAAATACTAAAATGAATTGGGAAAATATTTAAATAACTATGGTGTATTTTGAACATTGTTTGTGGACCTTGGAACACCCAAACCCCTATTGTTCCTTGGCATGTTAGTTTCTTCTTTTATAGTTTTAGAATCAACTTGTTAATAATTAAAATAATTTACTTAATTGTGAGTTAGTTAAATGCATGTATATAAGTCTTGTGGTTGTTATTTGTATACAATAGTCTAAGGTAGTGGCTCAAGTATGTAGATGCTAGTTCGAACTTTTGGGTAACATATATGTATGATCTTTTATTATTAGTTTAATAATGAATAAATGTGTTACTTATGCAAGTTCATTAATGGTTGAGTGTAAGTAAGTCATGATATAATCTTGCCCTTGTCTTGCTTGACTAGTATAAATAGGATAGGTGTTTCTTTATTGTTAACTACATGATTGACTTGATAACCAAATAATTAGAATACCTTGTGAAGCTTTAACCTTATTTTTTTTGGAGAAGGAAAGTTGTACTCAACTTTCTTAAGTTAGTTTAACTTCTGTTACGCACTTGTATGTATTTCATTATGCATCATGGCATGTAGTCCATCATATTAAGCAAAGCATCATTTTATTACGTGTATTACATATGAGAGTGAGAAGGCCCGTGTTTATCAAGTTTCGGAGAAGGTCCATCCATCCGTGGTGTTAGTGCCAAGTTTAACCTCTGGATCTCTCTGTGGAAACTAACCTTCTCTGCAACGCAGGCAAGCCCCGGAGCATAAACCCTTCTCTAGTATTTACAAATCTTTATTACACTTTAAGTCTTGTGAGATGTGCATTAAGTAATTAGGAGTTTGTCGAATACCGTTGATGCATGATTACCTTGATATTCAGGTATCCTTAGTTGTAACCTGCTTGTATGAATAGGTCAACACCTTTAATGCTTAGTAATGCTTAGATTACGATAGAAGTCAAACGATGGTTTCATCGTCCGCGAGAAATAGGTTTTACCTTGGTTCTTCTCGACTCCGTTTATGGATTGTGAGAATACCATGATAATGATGATGTTTAAATTGAGACGGGGCGGGTGGCTTGCATTGAGAATGGAGTCTTGCTGTAGTGTCTACACCTGTGTCGATTGAGGACCGTACTATTGTAGACCTGTTGTGAGTCGAGACTTTGCAGTACTAGCCACATACTCTGGTAAGACAAATACCTCGGCTATTCCATTATGAGAAAGGCCAACCGCGCACTAGGAGTGGAGAGATGGCAAGAGTAGCTATACCCACCCTACGTAAACATCGGGGATGGCGTACGGCGGTGGAGTCGCTATTTCTTGAGTGGCACAGGACCTATTCTTGTTTTGGAGGATCCGAGTGAAGGTTCATATATGTAGGTCCAGGACCTACATATGTCGTGTGGTAAGGAAACCCTAGCTAGGCCAAATCGATTCGAATCGTCGAGCTCCTCGATTATGGAGACTCGATTCTCTGCTCTACATCATAGTTAATCAATGAAACATGGTTACTTTTGGTTAAGACGTGAAATGAGACGAGATGATTAAAGAAGTGATTGATTTAGAACGGGTGCAAACTAGATACTACTAATGACCTCATACATAGCTAAAACAGTGAAAGTAAGGATCCACTCGTAGTAAGCTTTTTTGCAAAAGTTACTTTGTGCTTCCAACTTTCCTTAAGCCTGCATACCCTTGGAGTCTTTTCTTTTAGTCAGGTAAGACTTATTGAGTACCCTCAAGTACTCATGGTTTGTTAACCCCTGTTGCAGATTCTGACAAGTGCTACTAATCAAGGCCGTGTTAGTGGGCTCGACATGATCTGGCTGTCTCCTCTACCTTAGATGCTTGACCTAAGTTGTTTCCATAATCCTACTCACCTTTTGAACTTAAGTTAAGATTTGACTTGAATATGTTTTGTATACTAATGTTATAAGTCTTCTGCACTCTGATGTAAGTTATTTTTGTACCAAATGTTGTAATGTTGTGGTAACTCTATGTTAATCATGTATGAGTTGTAAAATGTGGATGATTCGGGGTTCCCCGAGGACATCCGACAGACTACCTGAATTATCTGGCTCTCGTGTGCAGCAGCCAGAGGTCTTTAAGACAATCACAGGTACATATGGACCATATAATTGTGGTGGTTCTGCCACATCCTCTCCCCTCGTGGCTACTAGCAAGGATGAGAGGCTAGGAGTGACCCACATCTAGGTTGAGTTTAAAAAACAAAAAAGGTAGGGGCTCCCTGCCGACTTTTCAAAAAAAATGTGTAGCAAGGGTGAGAGGCTAGGAGTGACCCACATCTAGGTTGAGTTAAAACAAACAAAAATGGTAGGGGCTCCGTGCCGACCTTTCAAAAAAATGTGTGAGTCCATCTCCACGCTTTCTGAATCTAAAAACATTGCTACACACTGCTTGGTGTCCTCAAGAGCATCTATCAATCCATGATGAACAAGCACATCTATAACCACACATTGCTACACACTGAATTTTTTGACTTTTTCACAAGGAAGGCCAATGGAGGGGCCTCCTGGTGCCAATATCAGGGATCGAACCTGGGTCACCGGCTTGAGAGCTGTCTCGAGGAGCCACTCGGACTCAGTCACCACCAGACCTTCCTATACTAGTGTTGATCTACCAAAGAAAAATACAAATTCATGCACTAAATCCACCAAACTTTCCAAGATCCTCCAAAATTTCCCCCAACATTCTAACATTGACCAAAATTATTTGCACAAACCTTGACATGTTTGATTTGTATACGGTGACCACCAGGCCAACCTGGTTTCATCCAGATGCGCATGTTGCCAATGGATAACAGATCATATAGCACGTGATTCACGTGCAAGACCTTCTTCCCCATCTTTAATTGTTTCCTCCTCGTTGGTGATAGGAAACCATAGCGAGAGCAATGATCATGATACCTTCCCTGCCCTCTACTCTATCCTCTTTAGCAGTCAACTTTCGCCTACATGCTCACAGCATTCCCAGCAATGGCCATCAGGCCTGCCTTTTACATATTCCTCGCTTCCTCCGCGTCCCCGGCCAGCGAAAACGAAACCCGAGCCACCAATGCATCTCTATCCACTGATCCACCTTCTGATATACTCCCTCTTAATCATTCGATGTAAATCAATTTCTAGAGCGTCTCGACTAAATTTTTTTTATGTTTGACTAAATCTATAGAAAACTACACAAATATTTATAACATCAAATGAGTAAATTATAAAAATATATTTTATGAGCAAAAACTAATTTGATTTTATAAACTTTGGCGTTGTTTTCTATATAAATTCAGTCAAACGAAGATAACTCTAAAAATTAATTTATTCAGGGGTAGGTTATAATAATAATTATTACATCAAGCTCGTTATAGATTCGTACTATAGTATCTTTATCTCTTTTCATAAAGCCTTCAAATGCGTTAACATGTTCCCTGCTCTCCTGAATTCTCTGATGGCATTTCCGCTGTAAAACCTGGTATTCGTCCCTCACTTTTCGCCCTCCCACACGGTCAATGTATATTTTTGTTGATGATCGTGACATGTCGTCGCAAAGTAAACGCTTTCGATTATAAATTGAGCCGTGTGATCGTTGTCACGCTGCACCGTAATTCCAACAATTAGACGGTTGGTCGTCTGACTTCAGAGTTCCGACACAAAGGGGTCAGTCATGTGTGCACATGTCCGGATGCTCCTTACCTCTCTGCCGGGCACCTAGCACGGGCTCCGTTGCATGCAACGCAAGCAACCACATATGCCTACATACGATACGATAACTATCTGTACGTTCACATGCATTTAAATATATATGCAGACTAGCCATAGATCTCTACACCAATTAGTGGCTAGCTAACCATCTAGCGGCGTCAGAAGGGCGTGGGTGGTGGACGTGGAGAAGACGCTGGACGAAGCCGACGCGTCGGTGGAGGTGTGGCGGTGGCAGCGGCACTCCATCTACCGCGTGCCGGCGTGCATCAAGGACCTGAACCGCAAGGCGCGCGCGCGCTGCGGCACCTGCTCTGGCGCGCCAAGCGGCCGCTGGAGGAGTTCGCGGCCGCCGTGGAGGACGTCGCGGAGAAGCTAGAGAGCGCGTACCTCGACCTCGGCGACGAGTGGCGCGGCGCCGACGGGTGGGAGCGGTTCCTGGAGATGATGATCGTCGACGGCTGCTTCCTGCTGGAGGTGATGAAGGCCACCGAGGAGGACGGGAGGAATAACGTCAGCGACTACGCGCCCAACGACCCCATCTTCAGCCACCATGGGGTGCTCTACATGGTGCCATACATCCGCCGCGACATGCTCATGCTCGAGAACCAGCTGCCGTTGGTCCTGCTTGAGAAGCTCGTCGCCGTCGAGACTGGCAACCCTCCGGTACAAGATTATTAGTTCATTTTTTTACTTAGTATTACGACCAACGAGGCCAAGTGAACAAGCAATGCTGTTGTGCATATGGATGGTGCCACGAATGCATCAGAGCGCCGACGTGATCAACAGGATGGTGCTGAGGTTCATGTCCGGGTCCCCGTCATCCCGGCTGCCGCCGGGCAGCACTGTGGGGCTCCACCCGCTCGACGTGCGCCGCCGGAGCATGCTCTACGGCCCGAAGCAGCCGCCACAGGTACTGTCACGGGACATCGCGCCGGATACGACGGACATCATCCGGTCGGCGGGGGAGTTGTACAAGGCCGGTATCCGGTTCAGGAAGACCAACTCGGACAGCCTCCACAACATCTGGTTCCGCGGCGGCGTGCTGAGCATGCCGGCGGTGTCGGTGGACGACTCCACCGAGTACATGTTCCTCAACCTGATGGCGTTCGAGCGGCTGCACGTCGGCGCCGGCAACGACGTGACCGCGTACATCTTCTTCATGGACAACATCATCGACTCCGCCAAGGACGTGGTGCTGCTCAGCACCAGCGGCATCATCCAGAACGCCATCGGCAGCGACAAGGCGGTGGCGCAGCTGTTCAACAGCATCTCCAAGGACGTCGTGCTCGAGCCGCAGAGCTCGCTGGATGCTGTGCAGCGGGAGGTGAACGCCTACTGCGGGAAGCCGTGGAACTTGTGGTGCGCCAACCTGATCCACACCTACTTCCGGAGCCCTTGGGCGTTCATGTCCCTCGTGCTATATATTTTGGACCATCTAGGTGTAAGGTGTAGATCAGAGGGGGATATCTTTACCAATTGAATCAAATAGACCTAGAGCTTGCTTCGGGGAAAGAAGAGAGAGAGAATCTAGGAGCATCTGACCGTCCGAGGGGTTGGAGGAGCTCCCTACCATCGCTGGTTCGTCGGTGTAGCTCTGCGCACGGGCAACGACGGTTGGTATAGCGGTGGAGACCGGCGGTGGTGGCAAAGGCAGTGGTGCTTCCCACCGCTGACAGTGCCTCCCTCGCGATCGGACTAGGGTTAGACGGTGAGGCTGTGGCGGCGGCAGTGAACCTCGTTTCAAGAGCCAGTTTGCCCCACCTCCTCTTTATAGGCACTGTGCGACGGGGGCCCACTAGCCACTAGATGGCTGGACGTTCCCGATCAGGACGCGGTCAAGGGGTCTGTCTCGACCGTTGGGTCAAGACGGATGAGATCAATTCTAACATTCTCCCCCATGATCTCAACTCATACTTTAACTTTAAACTTTGACTTTAATCCCTTTTACTTTTATTTGTTCCATCACAGATTAGTGCATAGAGCATGCTTCATCGTCATGGTCAATCGCCGATAGACTTAACAGCTACAATACACATCTCTGTTCTGAAACAGATTCTTTAAATTTTGGGCCATTTATTGTTCGGAAATCATAGGCTATACCATAAACCCATGTCGACTGTGTGTTCACTAAACACACTGGGTGGTAAGCCTTTTGTACGCGGATCCGCAAACACTTGCTTGTTACTTATATGTTCAATACTTTTAGTATGATTCCGGACTTTCTCCTTCACAACGTATAACTTTAACGTCAATGTGTTTGGCAGCACACTTGACCCGTTATTATAGGAGCGAACTACTTAAATGGTTATTGCTGTTGTATACCATTATCAATTCCGGATGTAAGTTCTTTTAACCATTTCGCCTGTCCTTAAGCCTCATAACAAGCTATACTATGGGTATGCATCTTTGATGACACCACAACTGTTTCTTTGGAGCTTTTCCACAATAAAACTCTAACTGCGAGTGTTAACTACTATGTGGGTTTCACTAAACATCTCGTCAAAATTTAACATTTGTACCCACAACTATTTCAGAGTACTTATTCTTTCTTACTCACCATGAGGCCTATAGATCTTTGCACAATTACAAAACATTCTCAACTCCATTCTAGTGATCTATATCTAGACTGGACTTCTGCCAAAACATCCTGGATACATGAACTATGTTAGGGTAAGTTCTTACTTATAAGCACTCATTAAGCTTCCAACAGCTGAAGCATATAGAACGTCCTTTCGATCTCACATTGGTTCTTGAAACACTAAAAGTTCCTAAAACTATTACCCTTGACTATAGGAACAGGCGTAGGTTTATTCACACATATACTTTATTTCTTTAGAATCTTCTCTAAGTATACACTTGAGATAGTTCTAATACTCCTTTTCCTTTTGTCTCAGTAAGTTCCAATTCCTGGAACGAATGACGCTTTACCAAGATCATTCTCATTGAAATTTGAGGACAAGATCTGTTTCTTCTCCAACAGTAGATTAACACCACTACTAGCGAGTAAGATGCTACCAACATGCAGGATTAGGAAAATAAATTTCCCATGTTTAAACTTTGCATAAATACAATTGTCCCCTATATTCTCTTTAAAACCCAAACTTTCTTATTGTACTGTCAAACTTCAAGTACCAATGTCTTGAAGCTTGCTTTAATCCATAAATGGATTTCTTCAGGCAATATCCCTTACATTCTTTTCCTTCCACGACAAAACATTTTGAGTTATGCCATGTAAACTTTTCCATACAAATCCCCGTTGAAGAATGTGTCTTTACATCTTTCTGATGTAACTGTAAATCGTAATGTGCCACTAACACCATTATAATTCTAAAAGAATCCTTGCATGCTAATTATAATCTATTTCTTCTCTTTGTGTAAATCATTTCACCACAAGTGGCGCTTTATAGCTTTCAATATTCCCTTTGGATATCTTTCTATATTCCCTTTGGAGTCACCTTTTCTTGTAGACCCATTACAGCCTATTGTTTTGGCTCCATTGGGAATTTCTTCTAAGTCTCAAACATCGTTGGTATTTATCGATTTCATTTCATGTTCCTTTCCTTCTTGCCATTTAGACGAGTGAACACCTCTCATGGCTTTCCAAATGAGGTGGAATTATCCTAAATTTGAATTTCTTTCTTATTCTTTGAGACCTTCTGGGGCCTCGTGGCACTTCTTTCATATGGGGCTATTGTTACTCTTCATTGCCAAAAGGCAATTGTTCTATAGCCTCCTATATCACAAGATCCTTATTTACTTATTTATCTTCTTTAAGAGCTAACATCAGGTGTTGTATATGTCATACAACATCAACATGTATTAAGTAATTTGTTGCTCTAAAACACTGTAGTGGATATGTAATCCCACTTCTATTCAAGCCTTAGGTATCTACATACCATGCTCCCCCAGATTACTCTATTTTCTGTAAAGATGGTGTATCTTCAAATTTCTTATTTTGGGTTTAATCTGCTAAAAACTCATATAGCGCGTTTAGCACCACCTTGATAACTCTGAACTCGTCCAATATGAATACTAGCCGACTATGCTATCTTTCTATTGGAACTGTAAAAGGTCCAGGAATTTAGCTATTTCTTTACTTTAGGGGTATCATTATTATGACTGTCTTACTCCCTCAACGATCACATTCATCTTTTATAGATCACTTTTACCTTCAATGCATAGTATGCATTGCATTATCTAAAGTATGGGGAAGTATCTTTCTTAATTGTCTTTCTTAATTAATCTTACATTTCTCACCCTCGAAATGTGGTATGAACTTTTCTACCATAATTTCAAAACATTCAGAACTCTTGTGAATGAGGAAACTTTGATTACTTACTTCATCCACATGATTACATCATGCAAACAAAATTCGTATGGGAGTACATTTTTCCTCATTACACTTCAAAACTCAACATAGTCTATTATTATCAATACTTTTGCAAGTCACACTTGCATATCATTCTTATCTTTTGGTTCACATGCAACTTTCTTTTGTTCTTAAACTCATTGAGTACTTAATGACCATGAAACAATTAGAGTGTACAGTCAATACTAGGATAGCATAAGATCTATCCCAAACTTCTCTCCATGTGCGGGATACACTTAGAGCACATGAGTCATCACATCCTCCTCCGCCATGCGGGATAAGTACTATTCCAACTTTACCCCGCCATGTGGGTATTTTCTCAAACTTTTCCCGTCATGCGGGTACTATCACAAACTTTTACCGTCATGCGAGATAATTCCCTTAAACGGACATAAATGCCAGGATTGGCTCGTGTTCAATCATCAAATTCAGAAATAAACCCAAATATTCTTTTAACACACATGTTTAATCCAATGTTGGTCAAATTAAACATGTATATGGCTTTTACAACTCTCATAAGTGAAACTGAAAATAAATTCTTCTTCACAGAGAGTACATAAAAGTCATTTCTCAATGAAGACTCTCATTGTTCTATCTCTTTTCTTGGATCAATATCCTAGAATTCTTTTATTTTGAATCCATTCTTTAAATAGAACACAGTCCCTTAAGCAATGGCATTCTTTCATACATAACTTGCCCTTAGGCATTTCATCATCTGAGTCACAAGTACCCAGCTCATTTCTCTTACTGCCTTCAAGAATGAAAGCATGGAAGTCTTTTGTCTAAACAATATTCAACAATAATGCTCATTAAACTTTGAAATCTTTATATTCTATTCTATATCACCGTTGGGCAGAAATAGAATAAAACATCATTCTTCTACATTAAGTCCAGATCACCATTGGGCAGAAATAGAATTAACGTATAGAAATTCAATAATCTTGAAAATATAGAACTGCTCCTCAAAATTAAATTCTCCCGTTGGTTCGAATTTAATTAGAAGACAATCAACTTCATTGCAGCGGAAACATGAAAGTACATTTCTCTAGTTTAAGAGCATTCCTTGATCTTTATCTTTTCTCTGAAAAATTGGTCACTTTGATGCAAAATTCATCAGAGATTTAAACTTTAAACATAGAACTCATAGAATTATAATATTGTTATCATCAACATTGGTTAGAAAATAACAATACCATAATTTAACTTTAACTATCAACTGACTATTCCTCCAATTAAAATTTTCCTGTTGGTTCCAATTTTAACTGGAGGATAAACTTTTCATCATTTACTGAAT